ACGCCAACCCTAAACCCCACTCTCTCGCCACCAGCTCCTATCCAATCCATACTCCCCAACCCTCTCTAGCCCTCTCCGTTCCCCTCCCCAACTCTCTACCTCCTCTCCCCTCCCCCCCTCTACCCCCTCTACCCTCTCTTACCTCCATATCCATCCTCCTTCACCCCGCTTACCATCTCACCCCACTCCCCATTACCTCCTCCCTGCCACGTCCTCACCCCCGTCCCTCTATTACCTACCATTCCCATATCCACCTCCCCTCCATCTCATTACCGAACTCATACCCCGACCTCTCCCCCCCCTCTCCTCCCGCTCCCTCCACAATTCCCTCTCTCCTTCTCTCCCCTCCCTCTCTGCTACACCCCTCGCTCTCTCCACCCCACTCTCTCCTCCTGCTCAATCCATACCCTCCTTCTCTTCCGCCCTCCCTCTCTTCTTACTTACCGGCTTCACTTTCTCACACCCACCGTACAGCACTTCCGCAACATCCACCCCTACAAGTGACCCCGACCACCCTCTCCCTACCGCTCACCTCCCTCAGTACATCCCATTCCCCATTCTCCCTCCGTAGTCCCCCGCGCCTCCTCCCCACCTCTCCCCCCCTCATACCTCTCCCTCCACCTCTCATCCATCACCCGGCGTCCTTATTCCGCTTACCAATCTTCTCTACCTGCACACGCTCTTACCTCTCGTAACCTACGCTCCTCACTGCTCCGTGATCTCATCCTCCTCTCCGCTTCCGCTTACCTCTCCTCCATCACTCCGGTTTACCCCTTCCTCCTCCCATTCCACCCTCAACCCCTCCGTGCTCTCTGACACTCACATCCTACACCTCCGAGACCTCGCACATGCCACCCATCTGCCTCCCCATCGCCCTCGCTGCTCTCGCTATACCCTCTCTCTGCCCTCCCCTCCCTTCCCTACTCACCCTCTCCCCTTACCTCTTACCACAATCCTCCCTACTACCCTTCGCTTGCTCATCTTTACCCCCGCGTACCCTCCCCTCCTCCTCTCTTCCCCTATCCGTCATGACCACTTAACCCACTACCCTTCCTATCACCCCCTCCCCCCCCTCCGCCTCATTACCTCTCTTTACGCTCCCACCATCCTTCTCTTACTGCGGTCCCAATCTCCCGCTCCGTCGCCGTATTCCATGGCTCACTACGCCTCTCGTCGCAAAGGCCCCCCCCCTCCACCCTACCTCTCCTACATCCCCTCCTACCCTCTCTCTTACCAACCCTACCATCTACACCCCCATATCTTCCCTCTTCCTACCCCCACCTGCTCCCGGTCTCATCTCCTCCCCTACACTCCTCTCACCCGCTCGTGCTTACTGCTGGCTCTTACACCTCCCCTCCCCTTCTACGTCGTCCCGCTCCCCCCTCCACTCCCTCTTATTCTCCCCGCTCTACTCCACTCACCTTTCTCCTCCGCCTTTCTACGAGCCTCCGCCTGCTCCCCGTTACCCCGCTCTCCCAACTGTCTCTCCATACCTAGCCCCACCCCCCCACCGTTACCAAGCAGTACACCCCTCCACCTATCTACCCCTTATACCCTCTCACCATACCCCCCTCGTCCCCTACCCCAATCCTCTGCCCAACTCGTCCGCGTTACCCTGCGTGTCTCTCGTGCCTCTCCTCACACTCTACATCCTCCCACACTCCTCCCCCTCCCTCTCTCCCTCCTGATCCTCCTCTCCCACCCCCCCCCATTCCTCACCCTCCTACCTGGCTCTCTATACCCACTGCTTTACGCTTGCACCTCTCCTACCTCACCCTCCATCTCTCCTCTCCCCTCCCTCCAGACCACCTATCATGACCCCCTCCGCCTCCTCCTTACCACCTTCCCCTTTCACCCTTCCGCGGTCGGCCCCTCCTTCCATGACTTCCATCTTGCTTACCTCTCATACCTGCTTTTACCGCACCCTCGTCCTCCCTCTTACCCTACCCAGCTCAACCGACCGATGCCCTCGCTTACACACACCCTTCCTCTCCCGCTTCTCCTGCACTGAACCGCCCCAGGCCTCCTCACACGCTCTCTTCCCCCCTATCGCTCGCGTTGCTATACCCGCCACGCCCCGCCTCCAACCCTCCTATTACCCAGCCGTACCCCTCAATCGCTAACCTCCTAAACCCGTCTCCGCCCTCTCCCTCCCGACATCTCACTCCCTTCGTCCTTCTACTCGATCTCCTACAACTCCCGCATTACCTCCAGACCTCGCCACCCCCGTTCCGCCCCCGCCTTACCTCCATCCCCACTCACTGCACTCTCAATCCTCGATCCACCTCCTCCCATCTTCCTCCTACTCACCCCCACCGTCCTCCGCTACCGGCACTACCCCTCCAAACCTACCTACCCCCTCCCCACACCTCACTTCCACCCCTCTCGTTCCGACACCCCTCCCTGCCCCTCGCTACCGACCCCTACTCAGCCGCCCTCTCCCCACCCGTCCCCTCTCGTTCTACCTCTCCCCTATACTCTCTTACACATCCTCTATCCCCACCTCCTTCTCCCCTTACCGCTGCGCCATTCTACCCCAGCCGCCCCCCTCCTCACTCGCCATCCGCCTACCCTCGCCTAACCCCCCCTGCCTCCTCCTCACACGCCCCGCCTACTCGTCTACCCATACTCCACATCCTCCTCCTGCGCCTTCTGTAGTCGCTCGACCTACCTAACCCCTCACCTCCTCTCTCCCTTCTTAACCTCACCGTAATGCCACCGCACCTCCCCGGCTTACCTCGATCGCCCATCCCCACTCCTCACCCTCTCCCCTTTACCGCTCTTTCCACTCTCACCCTCTCCCACCCTAACCCTCCACTTTCTTCCTCACACCCCCCCCCCTCTTTCATTCCTTCTCTCAACACCCTACCACGCCTCACTACTCCACCCTACCTTACCCTCCAACCTCTACCTCCCCCTCTATCCCTACCGCCTCCGCTGAACCACCCACCCCGTCCTCCCCCCATACAACCGTCCCTACCCCTCCCTCCCTTACCTCACTTTACCCTCGCCGCTTACACCTCCCCCTCCTCACCCCTACACCTCTCGTACTTACCTACCGACCCACCCCTACCCCCCCCATCCACTGCACCCTGCCTCTCCCCTCACACGCCTGTGCCACAGTTTGTGACCAGTCAGCTCACAAGATGCACGCGTCACTTATAAAGACCCCTTAGTTTCTGCAAGCGTCCCGTTGAAGTCATATTTGCTAAATATTCGGAATGAATTACAACTTGTTGATGCGGAATCGTGATGGAAGCAAAAAGATCTGATGATGGTACATTTTGTTTTGTTACTTGAACGCAAATACCATACGTACCAAAAGTCTGGGCCCTCTACTCTGGTAATGCTGGACAAAGGGTCATTCCTTTGGGTCTGAGGTAGAGCGCAATAAATTGCCAACCGTCCAATAGTACATGTTGGTATAAATCAAAACGTCTCACCCGGTCACACGGGTATAGGACGACCGTATTCACGCATGTTTGTGCCCCATGCTGAGGCTGTTGTCGCAATCATGATGCTTCTTCACCGCAGTTAGGCTAAACCAACTTACACTTAAACTAGGTCTTTTTAATGTGGATAAAATCCATTACATTTTGTTTGTTTTTGTTCTGCGTACTTGATAATCTTCTCCCGACTTACACACCTCGCTAATGCAAATTGTGGTAAACTTGCATAATTTTATCGCGTGGTATCTTTTTAAATAACTTTCGGACAGTTTGTACTTATCGCGTATTCACATTTAATCAATTTGTTCCATATGCTCATTTAGCGAGTATTCATGTCGTCATATGCTTTTACTTTATTCGATATCGGCATTTCGATTGATTGGCTGTTGTTTGACATCCCATGTATGGCTGCGCTTGATGTGCATGTTGACCAGGTGCCTACCTGTCTATCACCCACTACCTCGTCCATCTGCCTCCAGGAAACAGTTGTCCGTTGATGGAGGGGACGGGGTGTACGGTCTTTGTAGCCGTGCTAGGATCGAAGAGTGGTTCCATGCACTCAGTGTGAAGCGGATTACGGTCAAGCCACCGCCTTGTGTGCGGTTGATTCCCCAAATACAGCCTGCTTGTGTTTGCCTGTGTTTGCCGTCGCAACGAGACTGGACATTAACATGGTGCGATGTTTTGCGTACCTCATTGACCCATTGAGCTATACTGGGTGATACCTCCGAGCATATTGAGAGCTACTCCTACCACGTTGATCAATGATGAGAGGTCAGACAAACTCAGTCTCCTGGTCCTCCAGGTTGGGGGTTTGAAATGGGATGGCGTCCATTTCAGTACAACTAAATCACTGCCACCCCACTGCCTTGCGGACAGGCTTTTGAGCCAAAGGCTTTGGATGAGGACCCTAATCGTCTTCCTGTCTGGGCGCCCTGGCAGTATCTCAGCCCACATACAACCATGACATTTTCTTTAAACATAAACTTCATCCTGCATCGGCCGTCGCGCAGATTATCAAGGGTCGCTTTACCTGCTGCATACAGCAGGGCGGATAGGCGAAAACATGCTACTGCTGGCGCCTCCCGTCTTTCTTTTCTACCCTTTCCTCTTACTCCAGTCCCGTCCCCCATTACTAACCTTCCTTCTATAATTCCCAGTTTAATTGACAGCAATCGAAGTGCTACTGGAGTAGAACCATCTGCAGCCACCATCCCACAGCACCTATCGGGCGCCTATCGGCAAAAGTCTTTTATAAGGCCACGCTGTCCCGTTTCCATGGCGACATTCAACATCCGCACTCTAAGACAAACAGGTCAGCAGGCTGCACTCGCACGCACCTTGGACACACTGGGTATTGATGTGTGTTATGTGTCCGAAACTAGGATTAATGACCCTAATGGGGTTATTGAAATGACTGCACCCGGCTTATCCTCTCGTTACTGGTTGCGCGCATCGGGAGACTCCAGTGCAGCACTCACGGGTGATGCTGAGGTAGGTTTCATTCTAAGCTCCAAGGCTGAGCCATCTTTGCTTGTTTGGATTCCGGAGAACAGCCGTTTATGTGCAGTCCGTTTGAGGACATCAGCTAAAATTGATTCATGAAGTAGTACAAGACACTGTTTGTTTGTGATTTCCGCTTATGCCCCCACCGACTGCAGTTCAGATGTTGTCAAGGACATATTCTATGACGAATTGAACGCGCTACTCCGCAGTGCTACTAGTTCAGATAATATAGTATTGCAGGGGATATGAACGCACAACTACGGCGTCTGAGCTCTTCAGAAGCTCAGCTGGGTGGTAATTATGGACTTAACTCCGAACGGACTGACAACGGTGAGTGTCTGCTGCAACTGTGTGCGGAGCACCAGTTGTTTCTTAGTAGCACTGCTTTTAGACACAGTGGGCACCGAAGTGTCACTTGGCGTCCACCTGTAGCTGGCCAGTGCTGGACCCAAATTGACCACATAGCCATAAGTTACAGCTGACGCGGTTCCATTCTGGATTGCCGCTTGTATTGGAGTACCTGTGTCGATTCTGATCATGCCTTGGTACGCTGTCTTTTCTCCATGAACTTTACCGGAAGGTGTACAAAGCGTTTCCTCTGACTGACAAAGAAGAAATTGTCCCAGCCCTCGGTCAGGCTAGCCTATCAAGAAGCATTGCATACCGAACTCTCGCTGTCTTGTCCTAATGACACTGAACTTTAGTGGAATAGGATCTCGGCGGTCATGCCCGACAAAGGAGCATCTGCTTGTGGCACTATCCATCGTCACCGCACCAGTCACTGGATATCCGAGAGGTCGGTGAACCAGTTTGAATCTTGGAGACACCTCCCGGCTGGCTCTGAACACAATGTGACCAGACGGGCTATTAGGCGTAAATTAAAACAGAGCCTATGTGCTGACAAGTAAGCCTGGTGTACCAGTAGGGCTCAAGAAATGGAGGAGGCAGGAGCAGTAGGCAATTACCGGAAGCTCTTCCAGCTAATCCGCCTCACTGGTCCCAGAAAAACTGGCGTCAGTGAATCAGAGAGAGCGCGGGTGCACTGATACACAATAAGGAGCGACGTATGGCTCGTTGGGTGGAACACTTTCAAGATCAGTTCAGCTGGCCCCTTGCTCCCGGACCTCTTCCTACTCAGGTGATGTAGGACGTGTCATGGACGGTTAGTTTAGAGCCTCCATCGGAGGCCGAGGTCCGAAACTCGATCACAGCCCTCAATCGTTTTCGTGTCGCTGGCCCGGATTCCCTCCCACCTGCACTATTTAAGGATGGAGGTGAGGTCCTCTGCAGGGCACTGACCTCCCTATTCGAACGTATCTGGAACGAAGAGAGTGTGCCGGCTAATTGGAGCGAATCGATTATAGTGGCAATATACAGAAAAGGCAGTCGCACAGACTGTGCGAACCACAGGTGTATTAGCCTAACGCCAGTTGTGACAAAATTACTGGCCTCGATAATCGTTCGTCGCCTCACTGCAGAACGGGAATCTCAGATTAGGGAACAGCAGGCCGGTTTTCGCCCAGGACGTGGCTGTATAGACCATATATTTACTTTGCGGCAGGTGCTAGAGCAGCGGCACGCATACCGCAGACCGACAATAGCTGTGTTACTCGATTTCAAGAGTGTGTTCGATTCGGTCGATCGATCGATTTTGTTCGAATTACTTGCGCGGAAGGGTGTTCCCATGAAATATGTGAACATCCTTCATGCTCTATACTCGAACACCACAGGCGGCGTCATGGTCTACGGTGTCCTATCGGATAGCTTTCCGACTGCAAGTGGCATTCGTCAGGGTTGTCCGATTTCCCCATTTTTGTTCAATTTCGTTGTGGATTCTATCATGGAGTGTTCCCTTGCGGAATCTCACAATGTAGGCGTTGAAAGGCTATTTGGTGAAAGGTTAGTTGACCTAGATTATGCGGACGATATCGTCTTGCTTTTCGACGGTGTTGGGGAGGCACAATCAACCCTGAATAGCCGGTCTAGAATGGTCCCATTATTTGGTATGCACTTCGCACCTTCAAAGTGTAAAGTGTTGCTACAGGACCATCAGCCACTTGATGACTCCTTGCCGCTTGCTAACGAGGAACTCGAGGTAACTGATCAATGCACTTATCTTGGCAGTAGCACCAGCAACGATGGGCGCATAGAAACTGACGTGAACTCACGCATTGTAAAGGCCAGAGCTGCCTTCTTGAACCTGCGTCATCTTTGGCGACAGAAGGAAGTTTCCCTCCGTCTCAAAGGCCGTGTATACAAGGCTACAGTGAGGGCCGTTCTGCTCTATGGTAGTGAAACTTGGCCCCTTCGGTCTGAAGATATGAGGCTCCTTCATGTCTTTGATCATCGCTGTTTGCGAAGCATTGCTGGTATCGCATGGCACCAGCGTATCCCCAGCGATAATGTGCGTAGGCGAGTACTAGGTAGTGAAAATCATTCTACCACCCTAGAACAACAGATAGCACTGAATAAGTTGCGTTAGCTGTCTGCTTGAGGGAATCCCATACCAACGCACGCCTTTAAGCACCACAGCCTAACCTGAGTGTGTTCGCAAACAGCGTCGCACTCAACTATGTTTGCTTACTCAGACCTGCTCTGGTTGACCCAACTTGTGTTTCATCTCTATGGGCAGAGTTGTATAAAAGTAGCGTATGTCACTCATAAGCATCGATCCACGTTACCGTGCTACGGTGCCTATTCATC